ATTTTTAATTTTTGAATTTTTTAGATAAAATCTAATTAGAGGAATTGAAGATTTTATAATTAAAAAATTAAGGGATCAATAATTTAATATGATATATATATATTGATAGATTTTAGATGAAAAATTTTGATAAATTTTTTTGTATAAGTTAGATGAAAATTAATTAAAATTAAATATTATTATTTGGTTGTGTTATATATTAATTTATAATTTTGTATATGAATTTTAATATTTTTTTTGTTGTTTTGATATTTATATTGTTGTCAATTCTTTTGACATTAGATTAATTCTTGTTATTTTTGTGTAATTATTGAAGATTGTATTTATTATATAATTATTGAAAGTTATTTGTGATAAAAAAATTTATATCAATTAGTGTATAAAAAAGATTAAGTTATTTAATAATATTCTTAAGATTAAAAACTTAAAATTAAAAAATTTAGTGTAAATTCAATTTTTAATGATGTAATAAGTAATACTAATATTTCTAAATATAAGTTTATTTTGCTTTTATACAAAATAGCAAGTATGCTACCACGTGAAGAGTTTCCAAGTAAAAGAGTAGAGGGCGCGTTAAGTGATGATATAGGTTGGCATTTTAGAACACTTGTACCAAATACAAGAGGAAATGTTTCATGTAAACTTTGTGATAAAGTTGTAAAATGAGAAATAATACGTTTCAAGGAATACATTGCTGATAAAACTGGTAATGTTGCACTATGCTCCAACATTACTGGTATATTATGTTTTTATAATTCTTTTGAAAATATTATTGTTGATTTCTCAATAAAAATTATAAAATTACATAAGTATGTGCAACTAATTTTCTCCCTTTTTTAACTATATTATTAATAGGTATAGTAAGAGAAAGTATGATAAACTTTTTCAAGAAAGTAAATAGAAAAAAGCTAACAACAAAAGTGAAAAAATGAATTTTTATCACAATTAAGAGGGAAAAATGATTATGAAAGATTTGTTGGTGAAGATATCGTTACTAGACAAGCAGTGCAAGATAGTATCCAATCACAACATGAGTGGCACAGAAGACAAGAATTCAGACAAAGAACTAGTGGTTGGAGTAACATATGTGAAGAGGACGAAGCTTTTATGGCTCAGTTGCTGAATATTTTGAAGAAAGAATAAGGAAATCAACTCCAAATGAGTCTGAATTTTCATTAAGGGGAGCTATACTGAATTGATTAGAAGTAAGAGTTCAAGGCAACCAAAAGTAAGTGATTCATTTATAAAGACATTAAGAAGAAAGCTGGGTAAATCAATAAAAATTTTTTATATATGATCGATTTCCGTTTCAATTAGCAAATTCTCCATGGTTGCATAATTTGATTTTTGTGGGTAGCAAAAGTTGGCCAACATGTAAAACTTCCAACACGTTATGAGATCTCAGATGTGTATTTAGAGTCTGAGTATCAACAAGTTCATGAATGGGTTAATGGATTAAAAACTCATTGGAATGAATTGGGTGTCACTTTGATATGTGATAGTTGGATCAATAGTTTGAATCAAATGCATATCGTTAATTTCCTTGTTTACTGTAGTAAAGGGACCATTTTTTGGAAATCTGTAGATATCTCAAATGTTCATAATAAAGATACAAACTTTTACCGTAGATTATTAGATGAAGTTATGAAAGAAATTGGGAAAAAAAACATTGTTCAAATAGTCACTGATAATGAGGTAGCACTTAAGGCCACAGGAAAAAGACTAATGGAGAAGAGAAAATATTTGTATTAGATAGCATATTCAGCTCATTATTTGGACTTGTGCCTTGAAGATATTGGCAAGAAAAAAAATAGGCAAATGTTTTGGATGATGCAAAAAAGTGACTTGTTTTATATACAATCACATTTGGACTGTTAATTTGATGAAGAAATATACAAAAAGGAAGCAAATACTTTGTCCTGGTCTTACCTGATTTGCCACTCATTTTATACAGTTTAGAAAAAATAATGAGGCAAAAGCAAGGTTTGATAGAGATGTTCAATTCAAAGGTTAGTACTTAGTAATTAGTACAACTATTTAAATCTAGCATCTTTTTATGATATCATTGTTTAAAATATTAATTTAAAATATATTACTCTAAAAATTTATTGATAAATATATATGAATTTAAAGAATCAAAATAGGGACAACAAAAATCAGGACCTGTTTATGAAGCCAAAAAAATTATTTTAGGAAAAGATTTTTTGAAAAAGCAAGTGATATAATAAAAGTTTATGAGCCTTTGATAAAAGTGTTATGCTTTATGGATAGTGATGAAAAACTAACAATAGGCTTTATTTACGAGATTGTGAATAGAGTTAAACAAGTAATTCAGCAAAATTATTGTTATTTTGCTGAATATGAAAAGATTATTGACAATAGATGGAGTTTTATGCACTCTAACTTACGTTCAGCTAGTAAGTAAACAAAGAATATAGATGGTATTTAAAAAAATATTTATTTGTTATACTTGAATTGCTTATATATTTATTTTTTATTACTTTAATATAATATTGTTATGAATTATGTTTAGGTTACTATTTAAATCCACAATTTCAATTTGGAGTGGAACATTCTGCAAATATATTTAAAGAAACATTAGAAGGTATAAAAACAGTTATTGAAAGGTTAGAACCTTTGATAGATACTCAAATCAGAATGATTAATCAAGTTAGTATTTAATACTATTTTATAACTTTAATATTTATTTTATGTATTAAAAAATGAATTATTTTTTATTTATTCATTTATTATTATATTTTCAATCGATGTAGTTGTTAATATTTCGAGATAAGCATGGAATATTTAGTACTCCACAGGCACAAAGAGCTTGGAAGCAAATGAATCTACGTAAATAGTAAATTAAATAATTATAATTTATTTATATTATTTAATTGTATAGCACATTCAAATTTAATTTAAATAATTTTATACAGCTAAGTGGTGGATGATATATGGCACTTGTGTTCTTGAAATTACAAAAACTAGCAATCAAGTGCTTAGTGAAATAACATCTGCATCAAATTGTGAACGTAATTGGAGCACATTTGGCTATATTCACACCAAAGCAAGAAACAAATTGAAGTTTGAAAGACTTTTGAAACTTGTATATACCTATTACAATATGAGATTGAGGATGAGACATTAGAAAAGAATGAGCATTGATGAGATAAATAATAGTTTTAATCTTATTAGCCTTGACCATATTTTTGAAGATGATGATCCATTAACAAAATGGTTACAAGAGAAAGAAAATCCTTTGTTAGATGGTCAAAACTCTGATTGGTTGCCTGCAGATAATTCTGATAATGAAATGAATGCTAAACAATCACGCCAATCTCAAGAAAGGAATGCGTCTCATTTAAGTTCAAGTCCAACACCAAGTCAGAGTGATGATGGTAGGGGTTTAAGTCGAGATGATGATAATGATGATGGTAATGGTGATGGTGATGGTGTGAATTTTGATGATAATATGGATGCAAATCAACCTTACAGCCCATTTGGAGGAGAATTTGGGCTTGCTACTACTGGTGGACTTTTCATTGATATGGCAGAATACGGAGCAAATCTATTTGCTAAATCTAGTGAGAGTCAAAGTGTACGTATAGCTTGATCAAAAGGAAAAATCAAGAAGCACCACTATGATATTTGTAGAGGTTCTTCATCTTTAGGTGGGAGACCAAATTCTAGTAACTTTGAGTATAGTGAATCATCTGCTAATACTCAATGACGTTACTAGCTACTGGAACAACCTAATTTTCGATCTCCTCATGGTTATCCACCTCCATATAGTTATTATCCACTTCAAATGTATCATCACCTATTCAAATATATCCTCCACCTCAAATGTATCATTTACCACAAATGTATCCCTACAAAAAATGTATCATCATCAAATATATCTTCCACCTCAAATGTATCAAGAACAAAGGCCACAACTTGGCTCTCAAAGTGAAGATAGAGAATTTGATCCTTCTCATCATTCTACCATGTGGTAAAATTTAAAATATATATCAATAATTGTAATTGATGGAGTTTGAAATTATTATATTTTTAAGTTTGTAATTTTATTAAATATAGATACTTGATATTTAACATATTATGTTTTGTTAATATTTGATTTGTCTAGAATTAATATTGAATATGAACTTGACCAAGAAAAATTGTGGATAAACCAAATATGAATGCTTTATTATAATCTAAATAAAATTGAGAATAATTTTTTTAAAAAATAAAAAACATAATGTCATAAATTATTTTTAAAATCATTGAACAAAAATTTTTATAATTATAATTATTACATTTTATAATAAATTATGTAAAAAAAAAATTCACTATCGTAATGATCACAATGATCATAATATTTTTCGTTATATCTAAAAATATGATAAATATAATATAATAAAAAATGTGACCGTCACAGCTATTTAAATTTCTTGTTGACTCCTTCGACGAGATTCCCAACATCCTTTTGCGCTTCATTTTCCCTTCAGGCTGCGTAACTTTTTAAAACTCTGTTACACTACAGAATGATAACTTCCTTTGCAGCTCGAATCTCGGGCAACAGTTTTCTTCAAAATTTGCACTTCAATTTCGGCTCTACCTGCACGCTTATACTCGGAAAGAGCTGGGGCCTTCGGATTTTGATTCTCAATTGATAACTGAGAAAACCAACTTTGCTCAGTTTCCTCTGCTTCACCACTATTCCCCTTTCAGTCTAGGAATAAAACGAAAGAAAAGAAAATTTAGAGACGAAAAAAAAAAATGAAGAATAACGGAAAAGCTATCGGTGTTAGCATAAAAAACAATAAAACCAATCTCAAGTTAGTTAAATGTTAGTTAAGAAACATAAGGGGCAAATTTAATTCGGCTAAGATATTTTTTTTAAATTTATTAAAAAAAAAGGCCTCAAATCTCTTGGACTTTGTTAGATTTTAGATCTACATCTCATCCGGAAAACTAAAATTTAGATTCGGTGATAAGCCCACATGGAACAAACCCAATTCTCTTCTCTTCGTTCGCCAAATTGCAAACACCAACACATTTTCCCTTTCTCCTTTCACCATAACCAAAAACCATGGCCTCCCCAACACTGCTGATCCCAACTTTCAAACTCAAACCCTTCATTTCCATCAAGGCCAAAGCCACCTCCGCCGCTCAAACAACATCTCTGCCATCACAACAGCAACCGTTACGGCGCCACTTCTTGTCTCATGCTTCCGCCACCACCACCACAACTCTGTCCCTTGCAGGGCTCCCGCCAGTGACACCAGCATTTGCTGCCTCGGATGAGGAGTACGTGAAAGAGGCTGCAGATGTCATCAACAAAGTAAGAAGCACCGTCAATATGGACAAGAACAACCCTAATGTTGCTTCTGCTGTGGCTGAACTTAGAGAGATGTCAAATTCTTGGGTGGCTAAGTATAGAAGAGAGAAAGCTTTTCTCGGTAGAGTTTCTTTCCGTGACATTTACTCAGCATTGAACGCGGTTTCTGGGCATTATATAAGCTTCAGACCAACTACTCCTATCCTAGCAAAGAGAAAGGCTAGGATTCTTGAAGTGATGTGCGAGGAAGATAGACACATTAGTGATGCTGGTCTGGACTCTTCAAGGAAGCCGGATTTTTTTTCTTAAACTTCGAGATTTAACTGCTGAAATGATTTTTGAATTATCGAGTTTGAGATTGTAAATTGAGATTCAATTTATGAATTATAGACATCTAATTTTATTCAACTTAATTTTAGTATGTTTGATGTTTATGTATTAATTCATGCTAAAATATGTGTTCCAATGAAATGAATTAAATTTTGATTCGAATTCTTTTTTTTAATTATTTTTAAATGGATTTGAACTTAATTATTTTTTAATATTAAATCAATTTTGAACTAAGATCGAAGGTTTAATTTAAGAAGTTCTAATCTGATAAAGACCTAGAATCCATCTTAAAAGCCCAAAAATCAATAAAACTCAAATTTTAATTTTAAATCTAATTTCATTTTTATTTTTATTAAGTAAAAATTGAAAATCAAAAAATAAAAAAACAAAACAACAAAAAAGGCTAGAAGACATAATGGAGGGCCGACAGCCACTGTATCAGGTGGCAGCCTGTCATAACGGGCCAAAATTCTCAGTCCTTCGACTGGGGGTGTCGGGCCTTTTATTAAGCCTAAAGCCCACTTGGGTTCTGAGTTTTGCGCAAGATTTGTTAGAACAAAGCTGTATGGACCACTGTGAGCAACAAGCGGAAAAAGTGGTCCAACTCCAAAGTCCATTGACAACACTGTAGGACACTGGGAGCAGAAAACATTGATGACAGTCACATTAGACCTCCAGTACCAAATTTATTAGCTCCTCTGTCAGCTTATACTCTATAACAGTACCTACTAGTATAAAAGAACTTCTCCCAAAACCTTCACAACATTCATTTATTGTCATATCTATGCCGATCAAACTCCTAAGTCAGGATTCACGTAAAAAGAAGCACTTGAATTCAGTATAATTCTTGCCAACTTTGATCAACCTGCTTCTTCTATTATACCACCTTTGACCCTCCGTGAGTAGTCTCTCCCTCCCTTGCACCCTCTTTCATGTGACCTTTCTTATCGCGCACTATCATCCACATTCTTGTCTGTGATTTGCTTCAATAACATTCTCTTCTCGCCACCCTCCAAGGAATCAAATAGATGCTTAATAGCGGAATGACGGCCGTAAAATTACGGTAACACCACCACCCGTCACCGTTATTGGAGAAAATGCGATTGAGAAATTTATTCATAGTCAAAACGATCGTAAAAATGACGTAACGAGAAATAGTGACAATAACGAACTGTTATTATCGTTATTCCCATTTTTCTACTCATAGATCCATAGTTCATGTTGTAAGAAAAAAATAAGATTTTGACACTGCCATAATAAAGCAATAAGCTTGCAAAAGTAAAAGTAAAGCAAAAGCAAAAAATAAAACTCAGAACCTCAAATCTTCACTATCAAAATCAATCTAAAAACAAGATAGAAAATAGGTAAATTATTTATCAACCATTCAAACGACACTTCGATAGCAATCCTAGCTCAATCCGTAAATTACCCAAATTCAAATAAGCCATAAGTTCTCAATCCACAATCAAGATCAAAGAAGGTAAAAGGGGAAAGTTAAATTATCTTTTTTTTGGGCAAAATTTTTGTAAAATGATGTTTGTCTTTTGTGAGAGTTTGAGAGAAATAAATGAGGTATTCTGTAGGCTTTAAGGCAAGTGATAGTGATGAGGAGATACGAAAGAAAGTGAGAGATGAAAAAAAAAAAAGAGAGAAGAAGAAGATTCTTAAGAAGGCTAGACTCTAGAAGCATGAAAAAGACGAATAGCAGAGAGCGAGCTCGGTGTTGGGTCTGTTGGGATTAGGCAAAATTGAGGGATATTTAGGGCATATGGGTGTATGGGGGATTGTGTGGGGTGGGATGGAGTGGGGGGTGAAGGGGATGAATTTTTTATTTAATTTTATAATTAATTTTTAAAATTTTTTTAGATAAAATTTAATTAGAGGTTTTGAAAATTTACAATTAAAAAAATTAAGGGATTAATAATGTAATATAATATATATGGAGAGATTTTAGATGAAAAATTTTGATAAATTTTTTTGTATAAGTTAAATGAAAAATAATTAAAATTAAATATTATATTTTAATTTTGTTATATATTAATTTATGATTTTGTATTTGAAATTTAATAATTTTTTTTTGTTGTTTTGGTATTTATGTTGTTGTCAATTTTTTTTTGATATTAGATTAATTCTTATTATTTTTGTGAATTATTGAATATTCTATTTATTATATAATTATTGAAAGTAATTTGTGATAAAAAAATTTATATCAATTAGTGTATCAAAAAGATCAAATTACTTAATAAATTTAACGTTTTATGATCTATTACTCTTATTAAGATTAAAAACTAAAAATTAAAAAATATAAGTTTAAAAATTTAATAAAAAATATGTTCCAAAATTTTTAATTTTTAAAATTTTTTTAGATAAAATCTAATTAGAGAGATTGAAGATTTATAATTAAAAAAATTAAGGAATTAATAATTTAATATAATATATATAGATTTTAGATGAAAAATTTTGATAAATTTTTTTGTATAAGTTAGATGAAAATTAATTAAAATTAAATATTATATTTGATTGTGTTATATATTAATTTATAATTTTGTATCTGAAATTTAATATTTTTTTTGTTGTTTTGGTATTTATATTGTTATCAATTCTTTTGATTTTAGATTAATTCTTATTATTTTTGTGTAATTATTGAAGATTGTATTTTATTATATAATTATTGAAAGTTATTTGTGATGAAAAAAATTATATCAATTAGTGTATCAAAAAGATTAAGTTACTTAATAAAGTTAGTGTTTTATGATCTATTACTCTTAAGATTAAAAACTAAAAATTATTAATTAAAATTAAATATTATATTTTGATTGTGTTATATATTAATTTATAATTTTGTATCTGAAATTTAATAATTTTTTTGTTGTTTTGGTATTTATATTGTTATCAATTCTTTTGATATTAGATTAATACTTATTATTTTTGTTTAATTATTGAAGATTATATTTATTATATAATTACTGAAAGTTATTTGTGATAAAAAAAATTATATCAATTAGTGTATCAAAAAGATTAAGTTACTTAATAAAGTTAGTGTTTTATGATCTATTACTCTTAAGATTAAAAACTAAAAATTAAAAAAATTAAGGTAAATTCAATTTTTAATGATGTAATAAGTAATATTAATATTTTTAAATATAAGTTTATTTTATTTTTATACAAAATAGCAAGTATGTCATTGCGTGAAGAGTTTCTGAGTAAAAGAGTAGAGAGCGCGCCAAATGATAAGTTGGCATTTTGGAACACTTGTGCAAAATACAAAAGGAAATGTTTCATGTAAACTTTGTGGTAAAGTTATAAAAAGAGGAATAACATGTTTCAAGGAACACATTGCTCATAAAACTGACAATGTTGCACTATGCCCCAACGTTACTGGTATGTTATGTTTTTATAATTCCTTTAAAAATATTATTGTTAATTTCTCAATAAAAATTATAAAATTACATAAGCATGTGCAATTAATTTTCTCCATTTTTAACTATATTATTAATAAGTATAATAAAAGAAAGTATGATGAAACTACTCCAAGAAAGCAAATAAAAAAAAGCTGACAACAAAAAGAGAAAAAATAAATTTTATCACAATTAAGATAGAAAATGATTATGAAGGATTTATTGATAAAGACATTGCTACTAGACAAGCCATGCGAGATAGTATCCAATTACAGCATGAGTGGCACAAAAGACAAGAATTCGACAAAGAACTAGTGGTTGAAGTAACATATATGAAGAGGGATGAAGCTTTCATGACTTAGTTGCTGAATATTTTGAAGAAAGAACAAAGAAATCAACTCTAAATGAGTCTGAATTTTCATTAAAAGAAGCTATACTTAATTGGTTAAAAGTAAGAGTTCAAGGCAACCAAAAGTAAGTGATTCATTTTTAAAGACATTAAGAAGAAAGATGGGTAAATCAATATCAAAATTTTTGATATATGATCAATTTCTTTTTCAGTTAGCAAATTCTCTATGGTTGCATAATTTGATTTCTGTGGCAGCAGAAATTAGTCAACATATAAAACTTCCAACACTTTATGAGGTCTTAGATGTGTATTTAGAGTCTGAGTATCAACAAGTTCATTAATAGATTAATGGATTAAAAGCTCATTGGAATGAATTGGGTGTCACTTTAATGTGTGATGGTTGGACCAATAGTTTGAATCAAATACATATCATTAATTTCCTTATTTACTATAGTAAAGGGATCATTTTTTGGAAATCTGTAGATATCTCACGTGTTCGTAGTAAAGATGCAAACTTTTACTACAAATTATTAGATGAAGCTATGAAAGAAATTAGGAAAAAATACATTGTTAAAATAATCACTAATAATGAGGCAACACTTAAAGCTGTAGAAAAAAGACTAATGGAGAAGAGAAAACATTTGTATTGGACAGCATGTTCAGCTCATTGTTTGGACTTGTGCCTTGAAGATATTGGCAAAAAAAAAATGTGGCAAAGGTTTTGGATGATGCAAAAAAATGACTTGTTTTATATACAATCACATTTGGACATTAAATTTGATGAAGAAATATACACAAGGGAAGCAAATACTTCATCCTGGACTTACCCGATTTTCCATTCATTTCATACAGTTAGAAGAAATAATAAGGCAAAAGCAAGGTTTGAGAGAGATGTTCAATTCAAAGGTTTTTACTTAGTAATTAGTATAACTATTTAAATCTAGCATATTTTTATGATATCATTGTTTAGAATATTAATTTAAAATATCTTACTTTAAAAATTTATTAATAAATATATAAGAATTTAAAGAATCAAAATGGAGACAACAAAAATCAAGACTTGCATATGAAGCCAAAAAAATCATTTTGAGAAAAGATTTTTGGAAGAAAACAAGCGATATAATAAAAGTTTATGAGCATTTGGTAAAAGTGTTGCGCTTGTGGATGGTAATGAAAAATCGACAATGGGTTTTATTTACGAGGTTGTGGATAGAGTTAAACAAGCAATTTAGCAAAATTGTCATTATTCTGCTGAATACGAAAATATTATTGATAATAGATGTAGTTTCATGCACTCTGACTTGCATTCAACTAGTAAGTAAACCAAGAATATAGATGGTATTTAAAAAATATGTTTATTTTTATACTTAA